GTCATAAAAGCCTTTGACTACCAGATGCAAATTGAAACTCAACAACTGAAGTAAAAAATGATAAATTATAATAAAAACTAAAATTAAAATTAAAATACACTGTCTTCTAGATGTGATACGGCTCTTTAACCCATGAACTTATAGCAGCAGTGATTGTCCACATAAGACCTACACAAGACCGGGTTCACCAGTGTTCTAACATGGGGAGGGGAGGGGCTTGTGAGGTCCCCCCATACACGTAGGTAATGGTTGTTTCCTCCACTTGGATTCTCTTTGTATCAGATTCCAGGGATGAGGGAAAGGGTAGTGTCACTAATCCAAACAAGTCCAGTCTGTGTGTCCTTCCAGATGAGGATTTCTGTGACTGAAGACCGCTTTCAGCCAGAACTATGTGATGTGAGAATCTCCACCTGAATCTTACAGCCTGTCTCCATTGTTTTGGCAACTCTATGCACAGAGCCTGCTTTCTGTGATGGGGACTCAGGGTGTATGAGAGGCCTGCCCACCCTAGCTTCACTTTGGTCTTTTATTTATTTATTTATTTTTTCTGGCTTTGAACCTAGGGGCTCTTATAAGGGAAGTGTGCTACCCTGAGCTTCAACCCAGTGCTTAGTTTACCTTTATTGTGCAGTCAGGATACGGTGACAGTTCCCAGAGCAGGTTCTCAGATGTGGTTTAGCTCTGCAGGCAATGGACGGGAGGGGCCTTCTTTGGCAGATATCTACCTCACTGTGCTCCCCTCTCCAGGACCTGATCTGCTCCTGTTGGCTCTCACTGAAGGCCTTGTCTAGCCTCTGGATGCCTTACTGCAGCCTGGACATCCTCTCTCTGGCTCCTGAACAGCCCACTCATGTGGGGACTTTAGAGTGGCTACAGCTGATGGCAGTTGGTGGGAGCAGATGTAGGGGCAGAGTGGCTTAGCTGTTTCTAAGCCCCACACTAGCTGATTTTCTAATTTTTTTCTTTAGCTTTATTCTTATAAGAGGAGAATCCTGTGAGTTTTGATTCACTAGTTGAAACTAGATGAAAATCACTAGTTTTTCATCTGATCACTCATGCAACTTCTAATCTGATGTCTTACCCAGAAGTCCTATGGTTTTTTTAGGAGTCTCAAGCTAATCAGAAACAGACTTGCCAGATCCCAGAATTTACTTCCCCATGTTGTTTGTTTTTAGGATTGGATATGAAAGAAGAAACTGTGTAAGACTTGGAAGAAAAGTGTGATAGAGCATTTATTTTTTACATGACTCTCAGATTCAGGCCCCAGTCACTGGGGCAGCTCATACACAGCTCAGTTTACTACTGATCCATGCTCTTCCACTTTCTCTAGGTTTTCTTTGTCTCAGGCAGACTATGTGACTTGCATATTGGCAAACGATACTGTGTCTCCTGAAGTTCATCAGCAAATAGATTTGGGAGTGAGGGAGGATTGTCCTCACAGGTCCCGTTGCCATCGTGTCTCACGGCACCTTTGCAAGGGCTGCGTACATGCAGCTTTCCTTCGTAATCACTGGTCTAGCTGACCATTAGTAATTTAGGCTCACTATCACATTCAAGGACAATGATTTGCAGAGACCGCCCATCAGCTCCAGGAATTTCAGGATGTCTATTCCTTACAACTGATGTCTTCTACTTCACTACTGAACGTTCTGTTCCTCTGGTTCTACCTTTCAAAAGCGTGAGGATTAAAGACTAAAGAATTTATTTTCTCTATTATTCCCGATAATTACACCTAGGTGTGTTCCGTTATCATCTATCAGAGAATCTGACAATTTAAATTATTATGGTGCAAGGTTTGCAACTTTAGAAAATCTATACACTTTCTGTATGCTTTATTTTTTTCACTAAAAAACTTCTAGAGAATAGAATAAAAGAAAGTTGTTCACAATAACTTTTCCTAAATTACGTGGAAGGGAGTTTAATTTAGAATCAAACATCTGACTCAGACCACAGATTAGGCAGCCACAGTTGGGACCTTGTTGAGGACGTGCAGGTGTGCCTCTCAGCTGAACTCCAAGAAGGGCCATGCTTAAGGAGCTCCAGTTTTTGTTCAGCTTGTAGTATCTTTTCAAATACTGTGAAGTCCCCAAGAGCACAGAAATACTTTGCTGAATCTTCCAGCTGCAAGGCTGAAATGGTGAGGCTGATGGACTTGGCTGATCTCTGGAAGGAGACAGAATAGCGACCGCTCTTTTCATTTCGACTAGAAGAAAACTGATAAATCAGGAAAATCATCTCTCCACTGGGAAGCTGCTTGTACCAGAAAAGATCGTATTCACTCCAACTTGTTTCATATGAACAATCCAGGGTGACCGCTTCTCCCTCCTGTCTGCTTGTGGCTGGTTGGACTTGAGTCACTTTCTGGGCCACAGTGGATCCTGCTGAACAATCAGAATGGACAACTAATCATGCGATGTTGAGTGAAACACTGTAAGAATTAACTTAAGACCCAAAGGGAAGCCAGACTGAAGACACATTCTGCTTGCTTTCCTCCCATGTCTGCTCCTGCTCAGGTCCATGTGGGACACCGTATGCCTCAGTGCAATGCTTCACCCTTAACATCTAAGTTCTATGTTAATCGTCCATACCAGAAAAGGCCAAGGCCATGAGCACACACAGAGGGCTGAGGGGAGGCACGTGGCACATGTCCTGCACAAATGTGTCTGTTCTGCCTCAGCTCAGAGTTCAGGGACTCTGAGTGGTGTCAGTTTGCAGATGTACTGCCTGGGTTCTTATGCTGTGAACCAACCAGGAAATGGCATTTCATATGGTCATAAACCACAAGTTCTGTGTACACAGAGAAGTAGTGTAGTGTATAACAAACTCTTGCCTTTTTGCTTGTTTTTCTTGGTAATTAAAATAGGCAGTACTTTAAAGAGAACATAAGAAAATCCATTCCTGTTGAGGGATAAGGATGAGGGGCTGCTTCACACCCATGTTATTCAGTGGACTCACTGGGATTCACTAACTCAAATTTATCATGAGACATGGCTACTCTATAATGTGCGTACTGCTTATTAACATACATTTACCTTTTCTCCATCCACACTCTATAAAATTTAATGAAGAAAAATCCTTCATAGGTCTTTGCATTTCTTGGTGAAAGCATTGGCATCTAAAATAATTGTAGCACTTCTCTCTTCCTTACTGAGTTTTAGGGTCTATTTCAATTCTGCTACTTCCCAATCAAATAAAAGGCAGTCCCTCAGAATTTCAGAAGCTGTTCATTTGTTTATATTATTTTTGAAATTGTTTCAGGAACACTATTCATCACCAAAGGTCAAGGAGATGGCTCATTAGGTAAATGACATGCTGTGCAAGCCTGAGGACCTAATTTTGGATTTCCAGCACCCACAGGAAAAGCCAGGCACTGTGGGTGCATCTGTAATGCTCAGCACTGGGAAGCAGAGACAGGAGGATACCAGGGCCTTACTGGCCAGTCTGTCTAGTCCTATCAGGGAGCTCTTAGTTCAGTGAAAGACTCTGCCTTCCACAAAGATAAAGTAGGGAACAATAAAGGAATATACCCAACATGGACCTCTGTCCTCCACCCATGTACTGCAATACACACACACACACACACACACACACACACACACACACACAATTAATTATTTACTTTTTTGTCTTTCTGAGTCAGGAACTCCGTGTAGTCCCAGCTGGCCTAAAACTTGCTATGTGGATCAAACTGGCTTTGATCTCAGAGATCTACCTCCCTCTGTCTCTCAAGTGCTGAGATTATAGTTATGCCCCACCACACCCAGCTATGTAATAACAGTTTTAAAACTCACTTCCGAAGACTGGAGTGATGACTCAGTGGTTGAGAGAGCACACTCTTCTTACAGAGGACATGAGTTGTGTTCCTTGTACCCTTGTTGGGTAGCTCATAACCACCTACTATATCTCTAGCCCCAGTAACTGTAATGCCTCTCCTGGACTCCACAGACACCTGCACTCACATGTTTACATACCCATACACAGATACCCATACACATATACATAATCAAAAATAAAAATGTCTTTAAAACTCACTTTAAAAAAATTGTCCCCTAAAACGTTTTATTTACAAGGTATTAAAAGGATAAGAAAATTTCTTCCTGAACCGTCCACATAAAGAATTATTCTTACTACATTATAAGTCCTAGAATTGTCCTGATATGATGTAATATTGCTCTGGAGTCTCCAATTTCAACTGTTAAATTGTAGTTTTAAACTCACAAAATAGTTGCATGATAATTATTACAGATTTTTTTGTAACTCATGGTTATTATTTACTCCCACAGAATAGGATGTGTGTAACCAGCTAGTATTTAAGGGCATATTAACACCACATAAACTAGTGTTTGAATTTTTGTGTAATGCTGTATAATCATTTCAACTGTATCTCTTAGTCTTTCATCTGATCTCATTATTGTAATGATAAATTAACATACAGCAAAAGGCAATAAGAAAAGCCAGTACAAACAAGGTCTCTAAAAGAGTTCTCATTCTTTGATGCATATTTAAATAACAGATCAGGATGCCTTATAGTTTCCAATTTAAGAAAACTATTTGTAAAACCACTTAGAACAATTTTTCTGAACTAGTTAAGAAGATGTATATGAAAATCCAGCCATTCCTGCAGAGCAAAGGGAGACCGGAGTGAAGCAAACCCTGACTTCAGCTTGGTTTGCCTTTCGGTCCTAAATTAGTTTATCCCGTGCAGTGTTTTCTTCACTGCATCGCCTGTTTGTTCAGATGAAAACTCATTGCGTCTGTGGCGGTGTCAGGCCACAGCAGGGTTTTGCTGGAGCCTCCGGTGCAGGTTTCTGTGCTGACTGCAGGCGCCTGGGGAGCACTGTGTTCCTGCCGCACAGAAGTAGGTGGCCGAGTCTGCAGGCTGAGAGGCTGTGATGTGCAGGGAGAGCTGCTTCTCACTTTTACTGAAGAAGACCGTGAAGCGCCCATCTTCGTTTTTATTCAGAACTGAATGTATGGCTATCAGTAGTTCAGGGCCTTTCCCGGGGAATTGCCGGTACCACGGGAAGTAGTCAAATGCACTGTTCTCATAAGAGCAGTTCAGAACTGGAGTCCCTCCTTCCTGGACTGTCAGAGACTGAGGACTTTGCGTCACCTGCTCCTGGTCACTTCTGTCCTTCTGTTGGCCACTCACCCCTGTGTGGAGAGACGATGACAATCATTAGCCTCAAATTTTTGTTCCTTGCTTTATGTTTACCTGAATAATTTTGTCCGGTACCCCAGTTCTCTCATTCCTTCAAAGCAATCACATATCCTTGGGTTTTTCTTCCATGACTCACAGCTTAGGTGAAGGCCTAGCACTAAAAATGATGTTTCCAGAATCTTGCCCATTTTTCTGGAGCCAAAGCTCAGTGACAACTCAGGCAGTCGTTTATCTGGGCACAGATCAAACTCGAACTCAAACTTGGCAGTTCAGTGCTGTCAGCAGGCTCCACCCTTACACAAGTGCTTTGTCTGAAGCTATTTCCGACATAGGAAGCGCGTCACCATTTTGCTCAAATTCAGTATTGCTGAAAATGCAATCACTGAGAATCAAACTCGCCTGCCTACCTCCGTGGCAGTGCGTATTGGTACAGACACCAAGAGCAAGCCGAGGTGATGGGTCAGAACACAGAGAATATGCGGTTCCTTTGTCTTAGGGAACTTCAGTTTTCTCACGGTCTTTTTCACATGTCTGTATTTTACATGATTTTACAAAGTGATAGATTAAAATTTATGCCACTTTCATTTTACTTCTTATATAATAAAGACTAGGTTAATTAAATATATCCAAGAATATGCTTGTGGAAAAGAATTGAAAACGTAGTGGGATAATGTATTCTGGAGGTGCTCTGTCTACAAATGGTTACGAGAAGATAGAAAACATCCTGCCCGGGCTGTGAGGCTATGACCTTCCATCAACACAGCATTTTTAATGCTCCCATTCTGAGTTTGAACAAACAGTATTTTCATTATATTTAATGTTGACGGTGAAAGCCTTTGTGTTGGGAATTAGAACATTCAATTCACACTTGAAGGTTCATAGCTAAGCAGTGAGGTCAGACTATGCCTAGAGAAAGACTTAACCTTAACGAAGCTTGAAAATAAGCCTTGAAAGAGTACAGGGGATTGGAAATAAATTTTTAATAACTCTTTAAAAAGAGGATGGCAAAATCCAAATAACAACTTTAAATTCATGACATCCAATATCTAATCAAAATATCAGTCATACATAGTGGGTGTGGTGCACACCTGTAATTCCAGCACTTGGGAGGTGGTGGCAGGAGGATCGGGAACTCAAATTAATATCTGGTTATAAACTGAGTTTGAGACCAGGTTCAGATCCAAAAGACCCTGTTTCAAATAATGAAATGTTATTGTATATTCTTAAAAATGCAAATATAGGGAATGTTAAATGTTTTTACTGCAAAAATAACTGTGATGTAACACATTTGTTAACTACCTATATTTAACTCATCCAGAGTATTAGTTTCAAAGTATCATATTGTATACAAGAAAGCGACACAGTTTTAATCAAATTAAGAATAAATAAATCAGTATGCTCTGTTAAAAACAAGCAAACAAACCCAAGTCAATAAAATATCCAAATACATTCTACTGAAGCATCCTCAATTTTTAAAATTGCTTTTAATATTTTGAGGTCCTTTTTTCACTTGTAACAGACATCTAGTCAACATACAGAACATACACTACATTCCAAGAAGTCCATGCAATGCCATAAATCACACAGTACAGAATCCTCCCATTCCACCACACTAGATTTTCCTGTATACATATATACCCACACATGAAAAGCTTTTACCCTTCCACCGAAGGGAACACATGTGGCTTTCCTCTGACATATCTAAATTGAAGCATCACTACTCTTGTCCTATGGGATCCTTATTAGATAAAATAAAGACCTTTTGAACGCAGCACTATGATACCTGAACAGTTGTTCTGATAACACAGATGGCTGCTCAGTGACAAGTGGCAGTTGGCATGTACAGCAGGGACATGCTCAAAAATAATGATTCATATCCCTGTGGGTTGGGGTGGGGATGCAGCAACATGGCAGGAATTTACCATGCTACAAGAAAGAGTGAACATTTTAAAATTAATGAGGTGCTTATTTATGAATACTTCATTTCATATGGTATGACCAAAATGGAATTCAGGGACCTGAAAACCCTAGAAAGTTGAACTGAAGGTAAAGAAGTGCTAAACACGTGCCGGGTTTCCTAACTGCCTGCTGAATAGGCTGTGCATGGTTAATTGTCATGAAAGGCAGAGTGCCAATCTTTACCTAGTTTTCACACTGAAGAACAGAACATGAAGCCTACCAAACACACCTGATGTCTAGACAAGACGACAAAGGGAAGTTCATACCACTTCCTGACCCAGTCAGAGATGGTGCTGATATGGGAGGAGTTTGAACTAGGCTTCAAAACATGAGCTGATTTCCCAATGTAAAGGATCATAAGGTAATTAGATTGGATCAGTGTGACCTGAGACTGGACCAGGTGTGTTTAACGACATCAGAAATGTACATTAGGGAAGTTAATTTGTTCTTGGCCTTGAAGGAGAGCATGCATCTTCACAGTAGTCACTCCCAAAGCTGTGTTTGTCAACCCTCCGGGATAAACAGATACAGTGTATATAGGTGCCCAGAGAGATACATATACTTGAATTCTAAGTAAACAAGCACAATAGGACATAATAACATACCCGTTTTAAAATAA